ACCACCATGCCCAGCCAGATTTGATTTTATATTGGCCCTTGTGAGCTTGCTGAAATGTGGTCTATGATTACACAGTAGTTTGAAAAACAGTGTTGAGAGGAATGAGCTTCAGATTGAGACCAAGACCAGGATCTGGACCAAACCCCTGAGGTTGGCGGAGAGTGGATGCAGCCAGTAGATGGGAAAGCAGAGATGTCTGCAAGAAACCTTAAGTTATTACAGCTTAATGATGTCTCCTAAGTAGTATCAGCTAACCATGGTCTTCCAAATAACTTACCTGGAAAGAGGTAAAGTGTATTGCTTCAGGTTTGTTTCCCTTAAAAATGCTTTCTCTGTATATAAAATTTCAAATTTGTATCACTTTTTATTAATCATGCTGAGAACTTTATGGAAGTCTGATGGAGATCCCTTATTCCATACTCAACAGAAATTTGAGCTGAAGGATTCAGTGGACAAACAACAGGGACTAGGGTAACCATGGCAACTATGTCATGGCTAGACTGAGAACTCATGTCTCTTGTTGGAATCCAGTTTTTATTTTCTTAGATTAGCAAACCCAAGAGGAGATCAAACCAATTTTATTTCATTTCAAGCCCACTCTTGGATGTGATATTTTAACTTACATTGAGTGCTCTTATTTTTGCCCCAAAGCACCTTCACATTTATGGCTCCAACCCCTGTGTGGAGTTAACCATTTCTTTTTTTTTTTTCTCTTTGCAGTACTGGGAATTGAACCCAGGGGTACTCTACCACTGAGCCATATCTCCAGCCCCTTTAATGTTTTGCGACAGTGTCTTGCTGTTGCTCGGGCTGGCCTGGAAATGATGACCCTTCTTCTTCAAACTTCCAAGTCACTGTGATTACAAGCCTGCACCATTGCGCCCAGCTGAGGTTAGACATTCTTATTCCAGCTTACAGATCAGAAAACAGTGGTATGTTCAGGACAAGAGGCTTACTAATATCCCAGAGTTTGGCCAGGAGTCTACATTCTTTCCTGCAGGTCATACGGTCTTGCAACTGATCCTGCCTGACACTGAGCAGGGTGGTAGGGTTCACATAGAGGTGATGATTCCATGCCATCACTATAAAGGTGTAGAGCAGATGCAAATAAAACTACAACGCTGACTTCAAAGATGGACCTTGGCACCCAGATCAGTGGGTCCATATAAGTTTTGGCCGAGAGGTTGCCTCAGCACTAGGCAAAGGGTACACTTGGCCTTTTTCTTCCTTCTTCCCTCCCTCTCCTTCCTGCTCCCTTTCTCCCTCTCTTTGATACCCTCTTCCTCCTCTTTCCTAGGTCAAAGCAGAACTCATTAATATAACAAGGAGCTCAGTCTTCTCCTTTGCTGGAGAACTGTGTGGAATCAAGCTCTGAGTTCTCAGATTGTTTGTATCATATTTTGGCAGATGCTCCAGGCATAGATCAGAGTATAGGATCCCTCAGTAACTCCAAGGGGCCTGGAGAAGACACAGTCTTGTCCCCTGCTGAGCATTATTTATTTGCCTGAATTGTCACATTATGCCTATGTTCAACAAATAAATGATCACAGAATCTATAAAATTGGAGAATACACATCTCAGATGAATTCAGTAATAAAACATCCCCATTTGAAATATTTTGGGGGGATGCTTGGGATTGGACCCACGAGTGCTTTACCACTGGGCTACCTCCCCATTCTTTTTTTTTTCTTTTTCTAATTTTTTATTTTGAGATAGAATTTCACTAAGTTAGTGAAGCTGACCTTGAATTTAGGAACCTTGGCTGTTGCTGAGATTACAGCTGCTCATTACCATACTCGGCCATTTGAAGCATTTGTAGGATAGGCATGGAAAGAGCCTTTCTGAGCCTTGGAGACAGAATCATCTGGGCTAAGAATCCAGTCTCTGCCATTCAAAAGCCCGTGAACCTGTGTTAGCAAAGTTTTTAGCTTCTCCAAGTCTCAGATTCTTCATACATAGAATAGTAAACCTAACACTGTCTCCACAGGTTACTGTGAGAGTGAAGGGTCATGCATGGCCAGGTAAACTGTAGATGCCCAATAAATGTTAGTTTTCCTCCCAGCAGTCCTGCCTTGCCTTTTCTTTTCTCTTCCCTTTCTCTTTCTTTCTTAGCAGTCCTTCCTTCGCTTCATACAAAGGCACATTCCCAATTGAGTGACACTATTTGAAGAGTTCATTCTTAAGAAATGAAATTCCCTCTATCTAAACTTTCTACTCAAAAGGCCAACAATTAGCTGATGAAAGGTGCAAATACCACCAACAGCACCATCTTTGGGAAAGAGGAGCCTGGCCTGGTTATGCATTTCAAAGGTTTTATAAAGTCATAAAATCTAATCTCACACTTGATGACGTCTTCTGTCACTGCCCGAGAACTGAATGGGGCCCTTTGGGTTATATATCAACCTTCCATTACACTTAATAAAATTATAGTTATATAGTTATTCATGAGATTGTTTTATGCCCAATGCAGTGCCTAGCACACAGAGGATGAATGAATGAATGGAGGAGCATAAGTGTTTCCACTTGCCTTATCTCCTTCCAGCCTTAGCTCAGTTCTGTCAGTGTCCACAGGCAGGGATTATCACCTGCTCTTTCCAGGTGAAGAAAGTGTGCCAGTCAGGGTCATACAGTAAGGAAGTGGTGGGCAAGGCACTTCAGCCCAGATCTCCTAACACCAAACCTGCATTCTTTCCTTGGTACTCCTCTGCCCTTTGACTCACCAGCCTTACCCTCCTATCTATTCAAATGGTAATATTCTAGAGGGGCACTGTGCCCTGGAGCCTGGGTGTGACACTTGATGGCCATTTACTACATTTTGTGTACAGAAGGTCCACTTTCCATTATAACTCATCTCATCAGGTAATGGGCTATTTATTGGCTGATAATAACCCTGCCTGCTGAGGGCAGAGCAAGTTCTTACAAGTTCATCTACACAAGTTTCCAGGAGCAGGGAAAGGATCCCCAGAGTAGGGAACTTAAGCTGATTAGGTGTGTGTTGTTTGCTGGAGGGATCCTTGACATTCAGCTTGAATACTTTTGAAGTTTGACCATTACACCAATTTGTGCTGGCTTCCTGCCCTCCCCTTCTGATTACCTAAGAATATCTTTTTTCCTCTCCTTTTAAAGCTCATTCAAAGTACTTAGGGCAATTAGGTCTCAGTTTATATTCTTGATTCTTTTTTACTTGCTACCTACTCTTTTGATTTGGATATGCAGTAAACTTTTCATTCCTTTTTCTCTACATAAACCCTAGTGCACAATCTAGCTTTACTGGCCTACTAAGTCTATCCCTTCCCCCTTTTTAACTCCCACATCTTTGGTGATCCCTTAGAAGTGCACATTCAAGGTTAAGTAGAACTTAACATTTAGCCAGTATAATGGAAAAATACTTGGCATGGGAATAACAGCAGGTGTGTGCATAGGCCAGTTTACCACCTTGAACTAATTGTGAAATGTGTGGCAAATGATTTCACCCCAACAGTTTCAGTCTCTGCATCTCTGAACCTGCAGTGGCTCCTCCCCAGGCTCCTGGGTTCTCTAATCCATCTCATCTTCTAAACTGACTGCCCTTGAGGACAAATCAGACACTGAACAAGAACCACAAGCAAATACTCCTTTGCCACTCCAGAGCTTGCTCAAGGCTCTTTATCAGGCAGAAAAGGTCATCCTTAAGCCTCCTGTGGTCTGGAAGTACTTGTGACAAGATTCTTACTGTAACAACTTCCTTAAAGAGACTGCAGAGCTCTTTATTACTCACACAATAGCTGAGCCGATAGGAACAGAACAGTAACACCCCTTGAAATGTGGGTGGCATCTACTTCCTGGTGGTTGTCAGGAGAGAAGATATTCGCTCCCACCAAAATCTTGTGAAAAAGAGGCTTCATAGGACACTACAGCCAGCCTAAGAGTCTGCTTAAGCTGAGGGTCAGAACGGACTTGAGATTGGTAAGGTCTGGTCTGGCTAGAGAAGAGGGTGGTCAAGAGAAGAGGGTGTAATGGGCCAGGTCACAAAGCCAGGGGTTATGTATCAGGACTGTGGTGGCATCTTTATGCAGCCAATGTGTTCTGAGCAATGTGTGTAGGAAGTAGGGTTGGGGTCCCTGAGTGGGATGGAAACCAAGCCCAGCATCAGGAGCAGAGCAGAGATAGTCAGAGGGCCTCAGGAAGCCAGTGGTAGGATTTGCAAGTGGCAGTAACAGCAGCAGGAAGATTTAGGAAGTATTGGGGACAGCAGGTTAATAAAACCTTTGACTTAATGGCTGGCTGCATATGGACTAAATATAAAGGGGATCTGACTAAAAATATGAATGCACAAATTGCAAAGCATACAGAAATGTGAGAAAAGTGAACTTAGGCACTAATTTGCTCCAAGATGCACAACATCTAGACACACATGATGCAGTGTTCTATCACACAGTAGACGCTCAGGAAATAATGTAAGTCCTTTTCTTCCACTGCCACCCCAGAGATCAGCTTCTTAGTAAGGATGAATCGATGTCATGAACTAGCATGGGCCTTGTCTGTCCACCTTTTATTAGGATAAATTCTAATTGTTGAATAAAGCTGTTCATATATATCCCATTAAATTATTTTCTGATTCCCAATTTCTTTACCTTTAAGTTTTGAAGTTAAGAACCTAGTCGGGATGTTCTGTGCACGTCACAGAATTTCTGAATTGAATGCAGCCCGTTATCTTTTTTTTTTTTTTCCGTTATCTATCTTGTACAGTCCAGAACTTGTGGCCAGTCCAAACAGGAGCATGCTTGGAGCCCTGAAGACTTTGACTTAAATAACATTGTGCTTCAGTGGCTTCTAAATAGGAGCAGTGACAGATGAAGGCCACGACCACTTAAGTGATTCCTAGACGCACCTCTTTGGATGGGACCGAGATAGGTAGGCGGATCTCGCCACGCCTGCAGGCAGCCGCCACGGAGAACTCACTCGCTCCACGCAGGTCAGCAGTGGCTCTGAAGAGTGCTGAAGTCAAGGCTGCAACTCACCTCGGACCTGCGGCCCCAGCCCTTCGGTAGGCTGGGCGTTCTTTTTCTCCCCGCACGATGACATCATGTGTTTGGGGTTGAGTCGCTCCATAAAAACTGCCGGGGGGAGCCTGGAGACCGAAAAGCAGACGTGCTAGCCACGGCTCCCGGCTGCTCGCGAGCGGTCCTGGTGCGCGCCCCGCTGGCTGCGAGCGCTGCGCGGTGCTGTCCGAAAGCAAGTGGCAGTCGCCAGCTGCCGACCGGGAGTCAGGAGCCACCGGCCAGGAGCAAAAGATGCCCCACCACAGCCTGCATGCAGCGACTGTCCTCCTGCTGGTGATCTTGAATCTGCAGCCTTGCAGCCCAGCCCCGCTGAACGGTGAAGTTTATCTTTTTTCTTCCTCTCTCCCTTCCTTCTTTCCTTCCTTCCTTCCTTCCTCTTTCCATTCCTTCTTTACCCCACTCAGCCCCACCTGGACAGGATTTCCTGCGGGGCTCTTAATGATAAAGTAAAATTATTGCTGGGGGAGCCGGGAAAGCAGTGTATGGAATAACACATTTTTAAAGAAAGGATGCCCAGTTTTCCTTTGCTGAGGTTGAATGGATCCAGAAGCACGTTGTCTTTCTAATGGTGCTTTTTTGCCATCTGATCTCTAGAGATGTGGCTTGGGAACTCGCTAAGCAGGGAGGAGAGACCGAACCAGGATTTAAAGTATCGCACCTCTAATCCACATGCAGACAGTAGAGAAAAGACTGGGCATCTGAGTGGTGTGAGCACCAGGAACTGTTTGCTGCCGCTCTACTGCACAACCCTCAGATAGTAGTAGGGTTTTTGTTGTTATTTGTTTGTTATCTCCAAGTCAAGGGGATAATGCATCCCATTGTTAAACATTGTTTTTCTCCAGGAGGATTCTATTATCTTGCACACACACGTACATGTACACCTTATTTATAATTGTAATTTGGGTGCTTTACTTAGAAGTGCTGGAGGCTGAGGGTGCAGAATGGAATAGGAGAAAAGGTGGAGGTGGGTAGCAGGACCTGCAGTGTGGGCTCAAGTCCAAGGTTATGTTAATGAATCACTTGGAATAAGAAAAGGATAGCACTAAGCTCTTACCCCTCTCTCCATCAGCTGGATGAGCACTTTTCTGGGGAGTAGATGGTGACTTTTGTGAAAGAGTCCTGGGTAATGGATGAGAGCTCCTGCCCTTGACAAAGTTTGTCCCAAATTGTGGAGACACTTGTGGGTATGACAGTTCCTGGACCCAGGCTGGGTTGGAACATTTGTAGAAAAACCAAGAGGGATTATAATGGCTGAAAATCAATTCTCCCTGGCTAAGCAGTGGTGATGGGAAATTGGTCCTGCTCAGCAGCATCAAAGCTCCAAGCCTCCTTTCCTCTTGGAGGTCATTGTGCACATGGGGAAAGGCAAGGAGCTGGGCATGAGTAGCTGTGGGATTGCTCTAAAGTAACTTCTAATCTTCTGGCTGGCATGATCTGCTTAATATAATTTCCTTCATGTGGGAGAGACAGAATGGAGAAAGGAGTTACATAAAAGTGGAAATTAAGTTTTTTGAGGGATTGGGGAATTGAACTCAGGACCTTGTAAATGCTAGGTAAGCACTCTACCACTGAACTCTATCCTTGGTCCAGAAATTAATTTTTAAACTGCAAACTTTGGCATATATTTTCCTCTCAAGGAAGCTGTTCTGAGACTGAAGTTGGCTAGAATTCTTTTCAGTCTCAAGTTGATTCAAGAGAGAAAGGCCATTCATTGGCCACCTTTCCTTTCTGAAAGCTCATTGCTTCCCTTATTTTGGGGAGCTGCTCCCTAGTCTCTTCCTTTTCTCTACCTCTCCTTATCTCTCACTTTCTTTCCTCCCCTTCTCCTTGGCCCCTCCCTCCTCATTCTCCAAGCTGAAGTAGGGGAAGTTTGCAGTAGAAATCCTGACCTCATCTCACACTGATTAGCCAGCCTACCTACCCCTAGACTCTGAGAACACAAGTTGGTTTTTTTTTCCACCCCCCTGTTATTTATTGCTTTGCTATGTTGGCTTTTTGACTGCCTCAGGAGACAAGGTCAAAGTAAAATTCACTGAGGTGTATAGAACATCAGCATTAACACAAGGTTGGGGTAAAGGGGCTAGCTGAGTAATAGGGTCAAAGTGTGATCTGCTTTCTGTGGAGCATTGAAGCTTCCCTCAGTTGGCACTGAGGAATGTCCAAGAAAAACAGCTGGGGCCAGGGGAGGATGGGATCATGATCTCCAGGTTCTGGAGAAAACCTTGGAACTCTTGGTTGCTGTTGCTAAGGGGCATTTCAGTGAATTCTGGAGAGTCTGCTCTGCCTGAACCTGTTCCGGAGAGCTGGGAAGTCTTTGGCTGCTGGACGACAGATAATGGTTACTCATGGAAGGTTCTAGCACCCAGGACAGAAAACAGGCAGGTCCATGCACCCCTGCCCAAATCTTCATATTCTCATGGCATCCCCTCCAGGGCATCTCCCTGCCTAGCACCAACAGGGTATGCAGGTTCTAACAGGCTTTGGCTGAGCTGCCCAAGTCTCCTGGAAGAAACAGATGAACTTTTGAGGAGAAGAATGATTTTCCTCTGGAAAGGAACTACTCCCTCAGGAAGCCAGTGAAGCCTTGGCTTAAAGTACCTTGTAGGGTCAGTTTAATATTGTTAAAATTCCTGCCCCTAAAGCTAGAGGTGGGAAACCTTTACTGAGAAAGGTTTCTCTGAAAAGCAAACACTTCCACGAATGCGGGTGCACTTTCAGAATGGCTTCCTAAGGTTGGATTGGAGCTGCTGATGAGTCAGGGTGGACCCTGATCTCCACTGATGAACCCTACTGACTCTACTGACTCACCATTCTTACCTTCATTTTACAGTGAGGCTTCTCCCCTCCCTATGTCCCTCCTGACACTACCGTTTGTACCTGAGACACTGAGTCCTCAAGGTCAAGCAGGGCTTGTTCAGAGAGCAGAGGACAGGAATTGCTGCTGCTTTTCAACAAGTCCCCAGTTCTGTGTCAGAGGCTTTACAGTCCCTGATGTCCTCTATAATGTCTGTCTTGGAGTTTACCAGAGTATTATGCTGGTGCCTCATCTGAGAATGCGAGCTACAGTACTGGGGGAAACCTCAGCTTAGCAAGCTTTGGGGAGGAATAGTGGAAGATGTATTAAATCTGGGAGTTGATTTTGGGGCAGGTGCAATGCAACCTCCTGGTCGGTGCAGGGCTGCTCAGAGGCACAGATATTTTCTGGGGACATCCAGGATTTCTCTTTGGAAAGAGAATGAATGCCCCTCTTACTTGGGTTTTTACCTCTTGGACATCCATGTGCTCTGCCTGGCAAAGCAGCAATCATCTGGCTTCCTACCTCTGAAAACCATGATTGTATTTCAATGGTGGACCCTCAAACCAACAGTTAAGGAAAATTTTCCAAAAAAGAGGTTCAATGTCTTCTCTGGGTTGGTTCCAAGGTAATATTTCTCTCTTTTCAACATTTCAGTGAAAGGGCCAGTAGTAAACTTGGGGGTTATATACAAGTTTGGTTTTCCCATGGAGGCAAAGAAATAGAATAGGACAAGAACAACAAAGTCCTCTTTTAACTATTAAAAATCACCATTGGTTCCAGTAGAAAATGCCCCTGTGATAAATGACCAGATTGCATGCCAGTTAAGTTTTACTAGAAACAGAGAGAGAAAGGGGATGTGAGGTTCTTTCTTTTCCAGCGGTGCTCTCCCATCGCAGTTGGCGATGCTTGGAGAGAGGGGCCTAGAAGTTGCACCTCCCCTCATTGGACAAGTCCCCTGAGACACATGGGGATGCATCTCATCTTGGGGCTCAGTCTTCTTCCAGAGCTGAAGAGGAAGGTGGGCAGGTAGGGTGATAGACGCACAGCTCTGCAATGACTTTTTAAAAATACATTTTCATGTAGGAACGAAGGACCTGTATGTCGTAAAGGGTGTGGAGTGGGAGATGGTAGGTGACTCTCTTTATGTTCCTGGCAGAACCACTCCTCCACGTTCTTACTGCCTCTGGGGATACTAACTCAGAGAAGGATGGTAGCTTTCTTAGAGGAAATGTCTCCCATCTCTGATTAGTGCTCTGCTCTTTGTGTGCTGGTGTGTTCTCCAGGGTATGTTGAGTCGGGGGAAAGCAAGATATAGAACAGAGCTTGCAGAAGGTTGATGTTTATGTGAGGGAAAGGGAGGGGGATATAAATACAGACATGTGTGGCAATCCTGTGTAAAGGCTCACAGTCCATTGATAAACCAGGTGTCCATTGGAAACAGGGAGCAAGGGTGGGGGATGAGATTTTAAAGAATGGACCCTCTGGCTGCTTTAGGTTTTTTGAGCCATGTGAAAGTATTAACTATTTGGACAATTACATTTTGGATTTTCTAAGATATCTGGGAGGCATTTGTTCAGGAACCCATGAGGGCTGGGGCTGTAGTTCAGTGGCAGAGCACTTGCCTATCTTGTATGAGGCACTGGGTTTGATCCTTAGCACCACGTAAAAATAAACAAATAAAATCAAGGCATGCTGTCCATCTACAACTATTTAAAAAAATTGAAAAAGAACACACGAGCCCTGCATGAATTCCCCATCCTGAGCCCACAAGTGGAGTACAGTTGTTCTGAGAAGCTGTGGTTCTGACTTAAACTCAGAAGTCTTAAGTTTTGGGTATCCACCTCCTTTTCAATCTCACCCATTTCAAAACAAAATCTGTCATGTTTTCCCTAACTCCTTCAGTTCAGTTGTACTTACTTGTTTCCTTTTGTTCTTTGCAGGATCCAAGTGGACCTATGTTGGTAAGTAGAGATTTTTAAATATATATTTTTAAGGAGATGGTAGTATTTAATGCAAACCCAGAAACTTCATGCTTTTAGGGGATCAGAAAAGTTGTGCTGGTATTGTTGAGAGAAGGGATGAAGGCGTCCCCAAGGGACAGTTCCACAAGAGGGTGACACACTGCATTTCCCAACATGGATAGCCTGCTCTGTGCACTTGAGCCCGGGAGCCACAGGGTTAAGGCTTTCAGATTCTTGCAGGGATTTCTACCAAACCTTTGGGTACCTCCAGACTGCAAGGGCACTGGGCAAGAGAGAAACTTGCCTCCTCATAGGACATTTTTCCTACAATAAACAAAGAATAAAGGACTCCTTTCTGAAAGTTTGGCTCAGGCCCTAGAACTTGAGCTGTCAGTGTATCTGGAATTAACTTCCTGTTTCCATCTTCATAAGCAAGTGATGGATGAGGGGGTGATGGTTGGTCCTTGGTAGAGGAGGGATGCTGTCTTACATGGAGAGAGGAGCATTAGGTATGCCCCAGAGTTTCTGTGGTTCAATAACATATAGTCACTCTGGCAGGCCTGCAAGATAGGCAGCTCCAGGTTGGCTTGACCATGTCATTGCACTGAATTGTCATTGCAGTGAATGTTGTCATTGCTGGAGTAGGAATGGGAAGCCAGGCACCTGTTCCTCTGGCAAGTACAAGAAACTTAACAATAATGTTTTGTTAGGTACAGTGTCATAGAAGATACACAAGATATATTGTTCTGGAGACTGGAACTAACCACACTGGCCCAGGAGGCATTTGAAGCAGGCAGAGTTATGCTGCCAAAGTTAAAGCTATGAGATGCAATGGCTGTGGGGTGGCGACAGTCAGGGAAGTTGATTACAGCAGTGGACACATAGTCCAGGGAAAGCCCTGACCTTGATTTTCAAAGGTTAGCCTTGGGGTGTTCACTAGTCCAGGAGGTGTAGAAAAGTCACTGAACTGACCAAACAGCTACCTGGCTCTGGCACTATATAGCTCCATTATTGCTAATGTCCCTAATGTTTTGATGTGCAAAGCCCATTGCTGAATGAGTATGTAATTAAGGGGTAGGCCGTAGTCTGTAACTTGGAATTACTTATAGTTTACAGTTGAAAGCAGGATATAATAGGTAATAACAACATAATAAATAAATAGTTCGGTTCTCTGATTGCTCAGAGGGCTGAATAGTTAAGGAAGGCTTCCTGGAGGAACTGGTCGTTTCCCAAGGCCTTGGAAGATGGGGAGGATTCAATGAAGGTGGAGGAAGGTCTGTTGGTCAAGGTGATAAGGACATCGAATGCGCAAAGGGAAGACAGAGCAAAGTGGCATTTGAAGGAAGCACATGAACAGGGAAGAAAGGGCTGGGTGAGAGACCTCACAAAGGAAGAATCAAATGAGTTGGGCTGTGGACCCCTCTGGTGGGCTGTGTCTGTATGCTGATGGTAGGAATGTTTGTGACCTACACAAAAAAGGATGGGTCCTGAATTCTGGGCCTTAAACAGTATGATCTTCTGTGAGTCATGTGAGCCTTACCTTCCTCTCTGAATCTGGTGCGGAGGGGAGTGGGCTATGTCTGTCTAGATCAGTGTTCATCAACTGTGGCTTGGGGTTACCTACATCAGAACCACCTGGAATGCTGTCCAAAAATGCATATTTTGGAGCCTCAGTCATGATAGGCTGGAGAGAGGGGGGTGGGGGGCTGCAAAAACTGCAGTCCCCAAGCGATTCTTATCTTATGAATGCTTTGTTAGAGGACCCCTGACCACATGGTTCTCCAGATCTTTCTACCCCACCTCTTCTACTGGAAATCCAAATCAAGTCTTTGCAGGGCTCCCTGCCTCTCTGTTACAGCCCCCCAGGCAGAATGAGATGTTTATAGGGAACAGAGAGTCACTGTTTCTAGGAGTGGGAGGAAAAGATTTGCTGCCACCTGTGACACAGTGTTCTTCCATGAGGGCTTCTCTATGCAACCCTATCAACTGGTCCAGAGCATTTCTTTCTGACCACTGGCCCTGGCCAGACCTCTGCCCTTCTGCCTTGTTCAATTAGAGCAGCTCTTTGTTGAGGAAGCAGAGGGCAGAGTCTGATGATGCCCGGACTTGCATGGGGTAAGCTCAAAAGCAATCTGGTTTTCATTAGTGAAATGGGTGCATGTGGTGTGGTCAGCCCTCAGAGGGACAAATGGAAGAGGAAGATGGAGGATGGTTCAGGGGACAGACAGTTTGGGGCTGGTGGCAGGCCTGTGCTCCGGCCCAGCATTGGTGCTGGAGGGCAGGGTTTCCAAGCAGCCAGGGCTGTGCTGAATGGGCAAGTCCAACCAAGTGCTACATGCTGGTTTTCCAGGGTACAGAACTCAGCTTCTGTGCAATGCACGTAGACAGTGCTGAGTCATCCTGCCTCCGGGCTTCCTTCTGCCTGGTGCACATGGTGGGGCTTCTGGAGGTGTGCGGAGAGGGAATTCTACCCCCATCCCCTGCATGTAGATCACCAGGCTGACACAGAGATGGCACCCCAAAGAGAGGAGGAGCTTCTGACAACGAAGATGGGGCAGCCCTGCCCAGAACTCCTCCTGGGTGACTGATACAGCATCTAAATATCTGCCGGGTTGAGATTTTCTCCATCATGAGAGAAAGAAAGACAAAAACCTGTGTTTCCCCAGTCAAACCAGTGCCAAGTCAATCCTGGGGAGCCCTGGTGGCTTCTCCTATTCCAAACTGTGACTGCAAGTCATGTTGTCACATGAACTGAGGACAAACTCCAGCCTGCTAAAAAGACCCTATGCTCCCAAACAGAATAGTAGGTGCTTAGTAGAGGGTGGGGGTGACCAGAAGGTGACCCGAGGAGGTGCTGTTTATGTGCAGGTCCTTGATATGAGTGCTGTGTCAGGTTTGTGAAAATTCGTCAAACTGTTGGCTTATGATCCTTGCACTCATTTGTGTGTATATTAAATCCAATATAAGAGTTAAAAAGTTCCATCTAGCTGGGAGAATCATCCTTACCCTTATAGGGTTTTGTTTGTTTGTTTTAGCCCTCCCTAAGGGGAGGGAAATCCCAGTGTGTTTGAAACAACAGGGTCACAACAATAACAACAAAAAAAGCCTACATTGGAGCTAATGACCCAAAACCAGCACATGAGCAGAGGACGAGCACTTCGCTTCACTCCTGATAGTAACCAACAATGCTCTTTGGATGTGGGTTGGTTCAGAAAGAAACAAATACCACTATCTGATATAGATATAGGGCAGGTAAGAAAAGACAAATTTTAAAGGTGATAGGATGGGAGAGGAACATGGATGCTGAGGCCTCTCCTGGATGGAGAGTGAGTCCCACCTCTCTAAGTCACCACCCCAAAGGGTATCCATGAGGCCAGCCACTCCATCCCATGCAGAGAACTCTGGGAACATGGGGGCTTTGCTGGGGCAAGGGGCTGGCAGCTGGCTGCAGTTGCTCACAGGGGCTCCTGCCCAGCTTCTCGGCTATGATGGGACTGGCCTGGGCTCTAGCAGGACTCAGTGTGACCCAGACAATGCCATGTACTCACACTGCTGTCCCAGATCCACTCCTTGGCTCCTCTCCTAGACAATAGAGTCTCCGTTGCAGTCTCCTTTGGCAACCAGTATGGGCTGTTACTGGGCAGAGGCCTTCCAAGAAACTGAGGCAGTGCTGCGGCCCCCCTGCAAACTTCGATTCTTGCGATCATGTCAGAAAGATTTTAGACATGTCACCAGAATAATGCATATGAGTTTATTAGAAGGGATTGGAAAGGGGAAAAGGGGACACTCTGAAGGGAAAGAATGGATCTTCTCAGGAGAGAGATGGCTTGCCCCTTCTGCCTTCCATTTTTATTGAAGGTTCCAGGGACATTTCCAGAGCTTTCTGCCCAGGCCCACTTCTTGACTTTTTTTTTTTCCTTTCCTTTCCTTTTTTTAAATACACAATAGCAGAATGCATTACAATTCTTATTACACATACAGAGCACAATTTTTCATAACTTTGTATATAAAGTATGTTCACACCAATTCATGTCTTTATACATGTACTTTTTTTGCATTACAGTTCTTATTACACATATATACCATAATTTTTCATATCTCTGTTTGTATATAAAGTAGGTTGACACCCAATTCATGTCTTCATACATGTACTTTGGATAATGATGTCCATCACATTCCACCATCCTTGCTAATCTCCTGCCTCCTCCCTTTCCCTCCCTCCCCTCTGCCCTATCTAGAATTCATCTATTCCTCCGATGTTCCCACTCCGTACCCCACTATGAGTCAGCCTCCTTATATCAGAGAAGACATTTGGATTTTTGAGATTGGCTAACTTCATTTAGCTTTATCTTCTCCAACGCCATCCATTTACCTGCAAATGCCATGATTTTATTCTCTTTTATTGCTGAGTAAAATGCCATTGCGTATATATGCCGTATATTTTTTAATCCATTGACTTTTGACTGACAGCAGGATGAAATCAGACTTTCAAGTCCCCACTGGTTATGATACCCATAGTCCCTTTGGCCCATCCTGACTGCAACCTGTTCTTATAGATTTCATGGTGAAAGAGAATTATCTTTATCTCCTTGAGTTCAGGAATCTGGTTTGGGTAAGGGTCACAAAAAGTGCCCTCCTTGAGGGTAACTTGGCGTTCTTGTTATCAGCATTTTGGGCCTGCATTTCTCCTGCAGATAACAGGTAGTTTTCTGAGGAATGTGACACATATCCTGTCAACTTAAGCCAGGAAGGGCTGCAGGTAAATTGTTTTTTAAAAGAGAAAGCATGTGGGAGTCACACAGTGGATCTTGTTTATAGAATTATTCCCTTAACATATTCTCACTGCTCCTGCCTGTCTGTTCCCTATCAGACTTCATGGGGGCAAGCCTCCTGCTCACGTCCCTCAGGTCCTGCAGCCCCCACCTCCACTCACCTTTTTTCCTCCATCTCATGGAATAAGTTGCTCCCAGTGAACTTGCCCTCTGCCTCTGGACACCCTT